GTTCACCAACTAACTTTAAATTGCTCAGTTAAGATCGATTTAATTAGACAGTGAAGTTCTCGCTTATTCAGCCTTGAACGGTACCCCTGTGTACCCTACATATAAAATTAACGACAGTAATCTCGGTGATTTGCCATACGACGATACGCCATACAAACCCTGTAGTCCTAACCTACAACAACATTGCCAGCAAAACTGTATAATTGCCTTCAACAGAAAACGTAGGGTTTGCACCAGCGTATCCATAATTTTTACAAAAATACAAGATTTATACTCCTTAACTTAACTTAACTTTGCTAGACATGAAGCTATTCATTGTGGTACTAACTTAGTCAGCTGACTGTTATAAACTCAAGTTGAAGTTTCAATAAAGCTGCTTTATGCATTGAATGTTGACCCACATCCCATGTATTTACGTTTCGACGCAAGGACATCAAGCCTGATAGTTTTTCATGGTCTTAATTGAGGCAGTTTCAAATGAACAACCCCTCGTTCACGGCAAACAAAGTAGGTTCTATAAAGATGAATATGCGTGTATAAGATAATAACGGTATAGTAACAAACACATGTTGCACGCCGATGAAGTCGGTGGACTCGAAAAACGGACAGTTAAATGAAAAGCGCGGCCCTTATTTGTTGTCTATAAAGTTCGTCTAAAGTAAAGTGTAGAAGTTTGTTCCCATCAAACTACAGTAAGTTCGCGATATCTCCGCCTGTCTATATATAAAGAGTCTGTAGGACAATTAACCTGTTCACCGTCATTTAAGTTCTGCAGTTAGTTGGAATTGCTTGAGAGCCTTTTATACACAATATGTTATGAACGCTATGATTATACGGCATAAGATCTTCGCAAGTGCCATAGCAATGTCAATCTAAAATATACTACCAGCGATGAACTCGTGGATGGGCATTACACTTCAAACCTCGACTCGAGAACAAATCCTGTAACTCTTGCAGTTCATATCCCATTCAAATACATCAATTTCACAGAGTGGAAGTGTTTGACGCTGTCACCCGTTACGCAGCTGCCGACACAATTGTACTGTCTGAAGACACAGGGTTAGTTTTCGTCCTGCCCCGAATTCTCCTTCTCCGCTTGGGCGCTCATCATAGTTGTTACTTCTCATTGCTAACATTGTTGTTTCAGCTACTGTCGTAGTCTTTATTGTCGTTGTTTCCGTTTTTGTTGTTGTTGTCACTCTCGTTGTGTCTGCTCGGTTCTATTTGTGTTTAACCCAGACAAACAAAACTCAGGGAAGCGGCAAGCAAAGCTGGATGGACCACCAAGCCGCCTGAGTTACATCAAACGCCTCGAACAGCAGCAGCAGCAGCAGCCGCCGCCGCCGCCGCAGGGGCAAAGGTAAAGAAAGACTTCAGCCAGGGCGTCCTACGGACAGATGATACCGGATAGAGCTGGAACGAAGAAAGTTGAAAGTTGAAGAGCTGCTTACGCCAGCAGCAGTAACGCACGGCTGCATTACAACACGTACTACAGAAACGGTGGCGGTAGTAGTAACTTTAGTGGCTGGTATAGTTCAGCATATGCTGTTGGAAAGCATGTACCACACCGCGCTTCTTGCCGAGGCCTAGGACACAAACAGGGGAAAAAAACTCCTATGGTTTTAGCAGAAGGGCTGCACAGAGTCCCAAAATACCCCATTGGACTCCCACTTTGTCTTTCGACAACAGCAGCTGCAGCAACGTCGTCTTTGTATTAAAAGGTAAAAAAAAAGAAAGGTGAAGATCAAAAAGAACGTTGCCTTTCGAAGAGTACAGTGAGCTCAACCGGTCTGGCAAAGATGAACATGCTTGTATGCAGGCATCTGGAGGACAGAAAGCGAAACTGAAAGTTCAAATACTTTGCGCTATCCCATAGATCGCCTGCAATGGCTCGTTTCTGCTGTCCTGCCTGTCTCGTTCGTGCTGATGCGGGTTTTGAACAACAACATGTATTATAAAGTTGTACACATATGCACTCCAGAATACATTTTCTGCGTGATGACTGCGGAGACATGCAATAAAAGAAAAGGGAAAACTAGAATCCAAAAACTTAAGAGCAACGAAGGAAATGTATAGGAAATTATATAAAGGTGATTATAAAAATACTGCCTGGATATATATATATATATATTTTTTTTTTTTCAATCTAAGTTTTGTATTCGGAACACAGCCTTTACCAGCAATCGAGCTACTTCTATCAAAACTTCTTCACTAAAGCATTTATCATTTGTATCCCAACAAGCAACTTCTGAATATGTTATATTTTACTTTAGTTGTTTGTCGAATAAAAACTTTTTCATTTTGTATTTAAATTGACTTTTATGATATTCGGTTAGTCTGAAAATACACATAGCCCCACAGCCTCATTATGACAGACAATTGTCAAGAGGCTTTCTGGTGGAACAACCGTCAAAAGTTTATGGGATCGTTGCTCCTTGCGTCATGTTATGTTCTTTTCTTTCCAGTGCTTCTTTACTATAAAAAAACAGTTTAACGATATCAGCATATCAGAAAACTACAGCATTTTTACGCCGTTCTGAAGTGCCGATTGCCAACCAACGATCTGGCTAAACATCCCCGACTCGAGTTTAGGTAAGAGCGAGGCTAACATTTCGTTCACACCTACGCAATGATAAGCTTGACAGGTCACCTACTTGCATTTCTTATCGAGTTGCGTTTCCAGAACCCTTGCTTGAATGAGTGTTTGGCATTTTTTCCTGATGCTTCTCCTCCATGCGATTCGCTTTCAGCGCCTACTTCTTTCAATTGATATTGCTCATCATATCCTCGATTCTCAAACTCTCCAATATCGTAGTTGCTTAGACTATACTAGGGTGCTCGTTCCTCCCATGGTATCACCCTTGACTGCCATTTGAAAAAGGGCTTTTGGGTTGCATATACATACACACGAACATCGAACCCGCAAACATGAGCTGCATAGTCTGTGCGGGTACTGAGACATGGGTCTAGCTCTTAATGTTCGCGGAGTCACTTCCTACTTTCCCTCTCCCATAGACTCCAAAGCTACTGGTGTTCGGCTACTGTTGACGCTGCTATTGAGGCTCGTAAGAACTGTACTGAAGGTCCTTAGGGAAATTACACGGGTCCACTACCGGGAAGGGGCTACGCTAGTCAGCCGCTTCCGGTGAATGCCTGTCTCTCAATGGAAATATACAAAACATGCGAACAGAGAGGGGCACAACCACACAAATGAAACAACGCCTCCTCTTGCAGAGGGAACGAGGTTTTCCTCAAGAGGGAAAAAAGCCAGTACTCATGGGGACAAAAAACAGTAAAGCCGAAATGAACTCGAACGAGACCGGAAAGGTAAATATGCGACTCACATCAGTTGGTAGCTGACTGCCTCAGAAACCAAGAACAAAAGCAACGCCGAAATATATAATTCCTCTGGCTTACTACGGTCTCTAAGCTTTGGCTGCTAGAATCGATGTCAAAAATAAAGCTTTAAATGAACAAGTGGCTGTATGTACAGTTGGGTCTATAGCTTCGATGTTGACATGACGCAGGCGGGTTGGTGAGATCCTGTAGAAAAAGGTTTAGAAGGGAGTAAATTCGAGTCCGCCCCCAATTCTAACAATTCGCTTCGCAGCCTCTGTTCCGAGAAAAGGACGAGGCCAACTAGTGGACAAAAACAGGAGGACACCTTCTCGGCAGAACTAGGATACTTGTTCGGCAGCAAGCTGTCACCAGTAGGAGACAACGTAATCCAACAAACAACTGATTCCGGTAACAGAGTGCGTTCGGTCTGACCACTTTTCGAATCTGCGCAGAGAAGTCCCAATTAAACATGGAGAATTTTCGTGAGGTCCATACGCATAGGATATGAGTTTAGAGGGAATACTAAAACATTAGAACCCCTAGGGTAACCCAGTACATGGTTTGCTTTATTCGATTCCGCAGTAGTTCAGTTAATGAACTTTATCAAATTGTTAGTGCAATGGGTATGCTCGGCAACGAATAGGACATGCGATGGTGAAGTCGAATAGACGGGCTGGTATCAGTGGTAGCCGTTCTAATATGAAGAGCTTAGTCGAATGGTGTTTATTGCTCCGCGGGGGACTGTGGCCGGTTCGTAACAAGAGCTTAGCCCATAAAACGCTCTATTCTGTTAGCAATCGATCTCATTCAATAGCGCCAACGGCCCTCCCGATTCCAAGCGCGAGTCAATCAAAAATCAATTTTATCTGGTTACGGCCACGACGCAGGTTACGTTACAACAAACGGTATACGTACAATTAATGTGTGTTCCTAGGAGCATAGTAGAAACTAACTAGAGTCTACTTGCTCTTGATAAAAATAATAGAAGCAAAAATGAAATAGGTTTACGCAGGTCCGTGGCCAATTTTCAGTTAGCCATCCTATCATAACCAGCTGATTATATGTACAGTTTGATTCTTAACTTTACTAAAATTGTACCTTTTTATCCTATAAAAAATGAGGCTGAGATGGGTGTTCTGTAAGGGCACTCGCAAAAAGGGAGTTTGCTTGTCTGAACATTCCCAATTCATCATAATTCACCGTCTTCGATATGACTGAAAATAACCAAGGGATCTAGCGAAATTTATCTGTATATATATACAGATTTTTCACATTACCACCCAACTGCTTGGTGTTATTAACAGATACTAGATGCCAGTAAAGCATGTTCATCCTTAAAAAAAAATACAAATTATAATATTTTATTAGGAATTTTGTCACTTGCAACTGAAAGCATATCGTTGAAAATCCGTATGCCCTATTTTCGATTTTTCTTCAATGTAACTATCGTAACTTCGAATGATTGATTCAGGCTTGTTGCAATATTTGAAGCATAGGTCAACTGCCACCTGTTCAAAGGCTCTGTCTCTATATCCACTGTTTGGAACTTTCAGTGCAGATCTCGAATGCTATCACTAGAAATTAACAATTTTAGCTTTATTAAGTTACGGCTTTATTGGTACTTCAAATATTAAATTAAATGTTTCATCTTCCGCAAAACGTTTATGAAAACTTGATTCGCCCCGTCTCATCCTGTCGTCATAAACGATTCCAACGTATTCACTTGACATTAAAAGCATAAATTTAAACTCTCTTGAGAATTTTTAGTTAGGCGGCGGTAGTCTGTTCTAAGGCTTTTCGTCCTATTTTTGTTCGTTCGGTGCGTGAGGAGCCTCGGCTCCTTCCCCAGCCAACTCCCAACTGGCATTCTCCTTTCTCTGCTAATAAATTGCCACAATTCAAATGAACCGTACTTTCTTGAAGCTATCGTTTACGTTTAGGAAAGAACAAACGCGCCCATACCGTCGCTATTTGTGCGGTGCTAGATAAGATATGGCCGAGCAAGCGATGGAAATATTCAAATTATCTTAAGAGGGGAAGAAACAAACGCCATTTTGCGTTAGTAAAGCTCCAATTACGGTTTTTGAAGAATATGAATTAATACAAAAAAAGAAACGGCTATATGCACTTAGTAAAGAAAAATCATGTTACCATCTGTGTTATCTTTGAACTATGCTGAGCAGATAGTATTGGCTAAGAGACACGTTGGTCGACGATCAGTGAGCTCCAGCTATGACTACCGGAAACAGCACAACGCCTTGTTTGCCTGTTGACGTCGGAATGATTTCTTTGTATTACTTAGTATTGGAATAACATTATAAGGACCGTCTAAATGCTAGTTTTACTGCACTTTAGATTAGCACCATATTAGAAATTTATTCGCGCTTTTTTAACGACGTCCTTTGGTTCTCCAGAAAGTTTCGTTGACACAACACACTATCTATGTAAAAAGATAGGAAGACCTCTAGATTTGCTAATTGACACGGCTCTAGCGAATTGAAACTTTTACAGGTCCATGAAAAACCAGAATGAATAGCTCGGCCACATTTCAACTATCGTTTACGATTTGGAACATGCAAAAATTACTTTACCCATTAAAAATTTTGACGCCTGTTGCCCACACTAACTATTACTCTACATGTTTTTAACTAAAAGCTTAACTAATCTTAGGCTCGACCAACATCAGCTTTGTGTATAGACAGTTATCGCCTATACATGTAGATATTTAGAATAATCGATCGAAAAATTTTGCGTTTTCTCCCTAATATACTTTTTTTTTTTTTTCCACTTAACCATGCCTCAACCTAACAAGGACCATTTACCAGGAAGCTCGCTACCGCAGTCCCTTGTCTGTCGTCGGCGCTACCACTGCTCTCAATGCGCAGTCCGCCCGAGTGCGCTAATTTATCCCTATTCCTATAGGCATGGAACAAGCAGGCGGACGGATGTAATTCCTTCAAATGGATTATGAATTGTTTTTACAGGCTCACTTGTTACGCGTTCTTCGACACTCGTTTTGAAGAAGCATCGGAAAGGCCTTAGTCCAGACAAGACGGAACGACACACAGCTAGATCAAGGAAAAACTGGTGCTCCTTCTTCTGCTTCTTGGCGAATGGCGGCCGTTCACGATGTAGGGCTATTTCTAGCAGAACACTTTGTCGTCTGCTTGACAACGGGAAATATTTACTTACAGATACGAATGCGTTTCTTCGATGTTGCTGACGATTCATTCAGAGGCTGCTGGCGAAAAGTGCTTCTGTCAACTGGAGGGAACGGGGTTTGTCGGAGGATCAAACTTGAACATATTCCATTGTGTTTTAGCGTCAACCAATAGGGCATATGCGAGTGAATAGAATGTTTTTTTGGAACAAACGCTTAAAATAATGTTTTTTCCATTTTAGTTAGACCACTTTTATGCACAGCACCTAATTGAGTGATGTTTGGGGGGTCGGGATTTAACTACCAAAATGCAGTGTGTGTATGCCAGGTTTTCTACGAGTAATATTGCAACATCAAAGTTACTTGATTCGTTCTAGTAAAACATCTTGTACAACAACAAGAAACGGACAAAAGTGGTTTTGTTTGAACAAGCAAAAATTGAACAGGGAGGGGGGCGGGAGGTACGGCATAGCATTAAACATCAGTGCTTTTCCTCTAGCAACCTTGTATGCTTTCCAAATCGTTCTGTGCCTGTCTTGACGGTGTGATTAGATGGCTTCCCTTTCTTTCCTAAAAACAAGGATACGGCCACTTTAAGCACTCCACTTACCCACGGGGAAGAATAACAACTCATCCAGCAAATAACGATTGGGGGAGTATGAAACTTCTTATGCAGAGAGACAAGCCCTGGCACACCCGTGTGCACGATCTTTAGTCATATTAAGAGGTTAGCCCCCACGATAAGGAAAATTTTAGGCGATGGCGAGTTAACAGCAAAGTGATAAGCATGACGATATCTGGCAACGGCATTTTGCACGCGTGTGCTTGGTAGTTTCCTACTGCAGAATGAAGCAAACTAAGCGTAACGTGTCATATGTTAGATGCGGTATAAACAGATATCAAAATCTGAGAGAGTACAAGCTCAGGTGAAAGTTACCAAAATTAAACATTCCATGCACCAAATCAAATCACAAGGTGAACCGATAATAAAATCCAATTGTTTTCGTGTAACCTGGCTCTTATATATATATATATACTTTTAAAAGTATATATATATATATATATATACTTAAAAGCGTATATATATATATATATTCTGTCACGATTTATCATAATGAACGAAAAGATTTCTTTGTTGTATCTTGAAACTTTAATCTAAATTCTGCTTTAATGATTGATGATGACTATGATTGCTGAACTTCGCCAACAAATGTGAATGGCATTTAATATATGTTCATCACTACGGCGACTGAAATGCCCCTTTTGTTGATACGAATTAAGCATCGCAGTGTTTATTGGGCGGGTTTTGGCCATACGACAATTTAAGAGTGGAAAAATGAACACACTTGTCGTGTCATCCTTCAACGTTATTTCGCGTCAACAACAATGCAACAAGCAAGATTTTCGTCTAGAAACAGACAAGCTTTGAGCGAAAGTAGAAGCTGGACTTGGTCCGAATGGGACTGGCCTAAAAGAGGAGCGATTGAGGCCTTTAGTGAGATTCCTAACGAGTGGAGTGCCCGTTACATTAGCCGCTACCAGGTTCGCTCTCTGGCCTGGGGCAGGCTCCGGACAAGCATGGTGCCGTCGGCGTCCATTTTCTCGGCAACGTTTTCGTCGCTAACGTCAGCCGACGTCAGCAGTTCCGTCCCTGCTTCGGAGTATAGAACGCAGGACAAACTGGTAGATCTAGAAGCAACGGTAGCAGAAATAATGGCAGCAGCGACCAACTCAGACGTTGGCCCATCCACGACAATGCAAGCATCTGTCTTCGTCGTCAACTCCTAGCTTGGCCGCTTCTCTTCTTTCCAATGCTTCTAATGCTTGGTCGCATTTGAGGTAAAGCAGGTGACGTTGGCAGATCGGTGGTTCCACACTCACTGGCAGCCACTACTGTTAGGGACTAGCCTGCGCAACCCCTTGTTTCCTAGCAACGTCCGCTCTTTGACAATTCGCCCCTCATCCGTTCCGTATCCGGGTGTGCCTTTCGCCTCTTTGCGGCACTTCCCTGACATATCATTCGACCGGGGGGCAACTGCGCACTGTCACCTTGAGTTAGATTGATCCGGCGGCCCCTCAAAGCTGTCGTTGGATCGAAGGAGGCGGACAGCAACGGATGTCCCAGAACGGAGAGAGTATAAAGAAAACGTGTAGGTAGGTGGACACAGTCGAGAGACCTTATAGCCCCTGACAGTGCTTTTCCTGCACGACCGGAAGGGAATGTCGCTCCCATCTCTGCGGATAGAAGACTCCGAACTATGCGAGACTTAAGGAGTTCGGTTCATTTATTTCTTTCGAGAGGCGAAAGAACAAGGTGAAAGCTAGAAGACAACCCAAACTTCGTCGTAATAATCAGACATCAATCGACTTGGAGGTCCGCTTTCCATTTAGATTAGTAGAACTCTTAGTGTCACATGGATGGATTTTTCCAGACTGATCATAGAGTTCTATATATATATATATATATACATATATATATATATATATATATATATATATATATATACGTATGTGTATAAAAGAGAAACCTAGAAAGTATGTTGTGGTGTTTGTAGATTGCTAAAAAACCGGGTTCTTAAACGCTTAATAATATATAAAACAGCATAAGTAATTCAGCCATATTCGGGAGTTATCTTCGGAAAGATTTGTCATAGTAATCTCTTTCTACCCACATTTTTTGCATATTGAAGTCTTTCAATAGGATTACACTAAATGCTTTAAACATTTTGGGGAGAGTCGCCAACAATGAATGCTCAAACTGAGAGTATAGCGCACTGCCAAGTTTTTAATGATTACACGTTTCATACATATATATATATATATACATATACATCCATTCATGCACACTTACGAGCGTAATTACGCGTTATAAGTGCAACCCTTCCGATATGATGGAGTCTGCTAATTTCCCACCCTCGCTATTCGTGCCCGCGTAAATTTCAAATCTACACTATTCTTCCTGGCCGCCGCCGCCGCCGCCGCAATGCAGCCCTAATGATCTCACAGCATTTGAACCTAAGCGAGCCTTGCGGCAAGCTGACACGTGCGACCTTCATCAAACAGCGAAGCTTGGAGTAGTGGAGCTCTCCGTCGGGCTGTAGTGGCCAATCCCTTTTATGTGACCAACGCCGGCGTCGATTACCAGAACGCGTAAAGGCTAGCCCTCGGAGTCAAGTCAGCTTCCGCTTTGCCTCCATGAGCCATAACAATAAGTTTCGGCATTGTAGCGGTTAACCTTTAGAATGTCCCTAAGCATCCTTCTCAGCCGACCTAGAACTGGATGAGGATTCCCTTCTCCTGATGAAGTTTTGCTGACGTTAGTCAGGCCAAGCAGTACCAATAGAAGCATCAGTTTCTCCGGTTTGTCGCAGGGTGGGCAGGTGGGCGAAGGTGTCCTCCGAGCAGGTCTTTGGGTCAGCCAGCCGAGCGGGCAACGGATAATCTCACCCGTTTCGCCTTGATGATCCATTCAAAACAGGAGAAACACAGCTGAATGGGAAAAACGATACATGAGAGCAGGATCCAACGGTTTGGGAAGTTTGCAGTGCTGCGCAGAAAATATAAGAATGACTCAAAATGAGCGCTCGCGACCGTTTCTCAAAAAAGTGAGCTCAAAGATAAGCGTAGAACTGAGCATAGACATGGGGATAGAATAGCGTCAGCCTGCCTAAATTAAATTACAATCGAGTCTTTTTTGTTCTGCTTGTGAAATGAAGGTTTTTATCTGCTCAGGCAAAACATTGGAGGAGGTCTATGCCTGTCGGATTGGAGCATTGTAGCTTTCTAATGGAAGCTTCATACAAAATACATTAGACATGTCCGTGTACAAAGACAAACATTGTAGCAACGTCGGGAAAACGAACGGGATTTAGATGTACGCCAACAACGTAACTGATCTCTGACAAATAATCGACGATAAGGGTCGGTCTATTTCGACAGCAGCTAAGTCGTGCTTATTTTTTTGAATTCGTTCTAACTACCCGGACAGTATTTGCTAACTCGAACTGCTAGCAATGTAGACCAACATAAATCTAAGATGATATTCTGGCGAAATTTGGTATCAGTTCAAATATACCTTCAGGAAAGACTGCATTCATGTTAGATGGGCATACATTTCCTTATGACTTGATATTTCAATTGTACTAATGCCTTAGTATTGAATCATGTCATCAGAAATAGGTGAACAGATGCAGGTACCCAAGCCTATATAGAAATGCACGTCGAATTATAAATTATTATAATAATAATTTCTTTTTATGTTAGAAGATTTCTAAGCGCTGTCTATAAACACATATAACTCAATCGGTACTATATCTATTCGATCGGCTTGATTTTTCCCTTCGGCCCGTTTCCCTTCGGTACGTTTTTGCCGTTTAGAGGTGGTAGCTAAACGGCCGGTAATGAGTACGTGACTTTGTAAACGAAGGCGACAGCTTCAGCTATTATGGGACCCAAATTTCAATTCCGATGTTAGCATAACGCCTAGATAGATAGAAGCGCTTGGCTGTTAATCCATAAAAGTCCATTTAATGAACACCCTTTCGGTTAGTGGTGAGCAGTACTGATGAAAACAAGCTTTACTCTTATACCAATTGTACATAATTGGACAAACTAATATCAATACGAGGTATAAGTACAAACGAAGCGTAGATATTTTTTGTCTAACGCTGTGGTAAAAAATTATCATTAATTCTCGCCAAACTCAGATTTCTCGTCTTTAGATCTTCTCCTGAACAGCAGCTTTGAGACTAACCGCATGTATATGACCTAAATAGTGGTATCGTCCGTATCGGTTAGATGATAACATTCCACAATCTGGTTGACCAATTGGGGTATGTGCCCTGATACAGCTCAGGCCATTACAGGAGGTTTTCCCCTTTTGCTATAATGACTTATACGATTGCCTCTGCTTTCTTTCGAACATAATGACTTCGACGGCACGAATAATTGTTT